CCCCCCCCCCCCCCAATAACGCCTTCTCTCGCTCAAATTACCCTTCCTCATTTTTCCCGTCGCGATTTGCGATCCTTCTCCTTCGCTGTTTAACCAATCTGCAAAACTATTCTTCCGGTTGCTACCGTCATCGACTATTTCGATTTTCGACGAACGTCGAGAGATCGGAAAAGAGGGATTTTGATCTCTCTGGCTCTCGCGGCCTGGGGAAAACTTTTCAATATCAGGAATGAAAAAGTTGATGTCATGGTCGACTTCTTCGAAGTCGGACTCGTTCGTCGCATAGCTGGACCAATTAGGGCGATAGATCAAGCGTGTGGAAAATAGCCGAAACGGCCCCCCTTTAGCAGGCGGACAATCTTAGAAGTTTCCGTCTTCCGAGAAATCGCGTTAAAACAATCTTTGCTGATGATGAATTAATTCACTAATGCATTAATCGAGTGCCCATTACCGAATTTTCTTGTTAAATACTAATTATTTAAACGCTACATCCAATAGGATCTAAATAGCTGTATTTATAAAATGTTATACACATAGGTATATTTAAAATTCCAAAACCTATTAAAACATCTCGGTAGAATAAAGATTGAAGGTTTTGAAATGTTCTACATAATTTTAATTTTTAGTATATTTCTTTATTAGAATAAAATATATTATACATAACATAAAATATATTATATATAACATTAACTATATATATATATATACATATATTTATAAAGTACTATTTTTAATTCAAAAATATTTATCGAAGCTAAATGCAAAATGAAATTAAATACTACTAGATAGAAATTAATTAAATATTGAATGATTACTTCATATTGAAACATTATATGATATTTATTACGATAGATTGTTTTACACGGTGACAATAATTATTTTCTGTTATCTTATTTCCGTTAAAATTGCGATTGTTTACTAATTTTAGTGACCTCCTTACTAATATATTCGACGATAATTTGAAAATCTGTATTTATTCAAGTGTTATGAAACTGGACTTTCTCGGGCGAAATTATCATGCCTAATAATAAGTCACATTTTTTCTCAAAAGAGTAAAAAAGACTTGCTGCTAAATTTGCCGCAAAAGTTGCTAGATTTTTAAATATTTTACAGATATATTTACTTACTAAATGTAATATTTTATATAATTATTATCATTGTAAGGAATATATATTTATTTAATTTGTATAAAAAATAATTATTTAATTAATTATAAAAAGTACCGATAATCTCAAATATATAAGAACTCATCGTATATAAAAATTGGGACTTTATGTAAAAATCAATCCATAATAAGACGATTCGTTTTCTTTCTGTTACAGATGTTCGACATGCCGAGGACGAGAGGGTGAACCGACGACTTGTGATAAGATATAGACATAATGATGCCAGATCACGACGAAATACGTACTTCAAAAATGCCAATTTACGTTAGTGCAATTGTGGTGCGAGGAACTATTGCCGCGAGTGCGATTAACGTCGGCGAGGGCTTCATCATCGTTTCATCAAACGTCTTCAGCTTTTTTAAAAATGAGCTGGTGCTCAAGATAGGCCGGAGATAAGCTGATGACAATTACGAGGTTACGAGCTCTCACGGATTTAAGAAAATTTTCGTAACGTATGATATGATTAAATCAAATTTTAATGTAAAATATTGTAAAATATTATTTCTTCTGTTAATTATTCTCCTTTCTGATTATGCTTTACAATTCAATTGTGACTGGTAATTCACAATTCTTTTGTAACTGGCGATTCAGAGAAAAATGAAGAAAACAATCTGTTTCTTTTTCCAGAATATTGATCTATTTTAGTTCGATTATATTTTACTTTCTTTGTAAAAATTATTTTGATAATTAACCCTTAATTTCCAAAAAGTGACATTAATGATGAAAAACCTAATGTTATTTAGAGATCATTAAGGCTTTACTTTAATAATCATAGTTATCATGAGTTTGATGTTATGTTTATATATATTTTTATTTAAATAATTTATTTTTATATATAATGTTTATATGTGGAAAATATTTTTTTTAATTTAAAACAAAATATCTATAGATTTATATAGTATAAATTCAGTCTTTAAGGGTTAATTGTCAAATCATTGATTATTGAAAGATCCGAATCGAAAGCTCCCTTGAGCCGTAACTTCGCGGGTATTCCGATTTATGAATCGTCTCCGATCTTCGAATTCGAACCGCCAAGACATTAAATCGCCAAAACGAATAATTTGAGAGCGCTTAGAGCTTGGGGTAGACTAATTTTGCTGAAAGCGTCATTTTAACAATTCTGTGTAATTCCTTTATGCGATTTTTTCGAGATCTTTGGAAGCAGGGACTGAATGTTAAAATAATACTATAGTAATTTTATTAGTAATTGTACATTGGTATTATGTACATCTCTATCTTGTAAAATATTGAAACCCTTTAGTTATATTGACTAAACGTCACACAAATACCGATGTAACCAAAATTTTCATAATACCGTATATATGTAATTTTTTGGAATTATCGATATTATAACAATATAATTACTGTTATAATATTGAACGCCAATATTTTCAAATTAATCAAATTTGTCAGTTCTTGATATTTTGTAAATGAAATAATTAAATATATAGTACACATTTTATAAAAAATTTTTTTTTAATATAATGACTTTAATCGTAAAGTTTTGTATTTGTATAACTTATTTTATTCCCTTACTTTTTTAATAAAATAAATATGCATCATAAATACAATATAAAAATCTAATTGATAATATTAATATTGTTGAATAATATATTGAATTATATATATGTATGTGTATGTGTGTAAAATTCTATTCATAGAACAAATTTTAGATTTCTCTGTTTGTCTTCGATCGTAGTGAGTTTTTGTATTATGATAGAGAAAAGTAAAAGTTTCAATTTTGTGTATCGATACTTTGAATATTATAATAGTAATATTATATTGTTATAAAAACTGTTGTAATATCGAAGTTGCTGATATTACATTATACTGGTAATTATATCAATTAATTTTTATCTTGGTTATTATATAAAATAAAAAATATTTTCGCATTTATAATTTATCGCCGTTATATAATTAATATTATTATTTCTGATCCCTGCTTCAAAGCCTTTTCGATGCTGCGTTTGGCGGTATCACAGTCAATTTTTAAGATATAAGATACGTTGTGGTAAACTTAGATCATAACGCGGTCATCTCGCAAAACACGAACCAATCCTAGAACACAACGCAGTCGTTATAACTGCATAACTGCATATTTTGTAAGGACACGGCGGTGAGTGCGGATGGAGAGCAAGACGGGAAAAGGACGATGAAGAGTTAAGGCTCGCCGACGTACAACGCCGTGCGTACAACGATCTCTGTCGTCTATAAAAAAAGTAACCTCATAGTGCTCTAAGGCGCACGCTATCGCTGCACAATGCGCCCCTTTCAAAACCGGCATGCGCTATTAGTACATTATTTCTTGCTCTTAAATGCCGGTGTCAAACAAAAGTGCGAATTAGTGAAATAGTTATTACGAAAATGAATTTTCTCTCTTCTTTTCCTTTTCTTTAATATAAGATTGATGTCAATAAAACCATCAATTGTTTTAAATGTGGCTGTTTGTCTCTAAAATTCTGTTTTACTTTGAATGTAAAACATATTAGCTCATTTACAATTAGAAGCAACCAGTTACGTTTAAACGGAAAAAATTATATATTTTTTGTTGCGAACGAAGCGAGTACACAATGAAGAATAATTATGAGTGAACTCGAAATTTCACTAGAAAGATAAAATCTAAAATTTGGAATTTTAGATAGCTGGCGCTGCGAAAGAGTGTCAAACATTAATAGCGCATGTTCTTCCCGAAGGACGCACTGTGCAAAGAAATATAAATAAATATGAAAGAAAGATAAACATTATATTATTGTACATGTAATTAAAGTAATACAGAGGTGAATACGAAAAAGCAGTCGCCACTGCGTTATATACAAATAAATATATATATATATATA